AGAGGAGTTATGAGCTTAACTTTCACTCACTCTCGACGATCCACTTCAGCTCTCACTTTCACTCTCATTCTTAGCTCAATCCAAACCATCTCTTCTTCACCCCGGTGACTTCAATGCGTCGCCGCCTCCTGATTGGCGTGTGCGAGAGGTCTTTGGCAGCATGCTCACAGCGCCAATAGTTCAAGTGCCGATGGAACCACCATTCTCCGAATCGGCTGTTCCCTCTCACTGGGAGCCAAGTAGCCAGCTGAGAGAATGTGGAATGACGTCACCGGTGGGTGATTCAGAAGCGAAGAAGGTAGGGGAAGCGGTACCTGAAGGAGTGTTGTGGTCCTGTTACGTCTGGCGGTCGTGAGTTGGAAAAGGTCGACAGCATACCAGCATTAGGATTCACATCACTGTTAAGTGAGATTAGTTTTGAGTGTTAGTGGAATCTATGGCTAAGGCCTGACCCAAGTTCATGTGCGTACTTTATTACCAAATGGAGAGACAGTGTCCTAAAGAGAAAGCCAGTATGTTGTTATTGCGTGCCCTCAAAGGTGGTTTAACATCTGGCTTTCATTACCTTAAAATAAAAACTCGTTTGTTCTGGCTCCTGAAGTCAATGCCTCAGACACTCTTCTCAATTCATTTATTACGTCACTTCATTATTCACTCTTTAAGTTGCTTCCTCAGATCCTTCAACTCAGTCCTGCGCCTCGTAAGGGTCGAAAGACTGAAAGATATTAATTGCAAAATAGTAGGCTTAGAAATGGTGTCGTATGCGCAATTTTTACCTTCTGGCTCGCAATTCAAACATCATTGCCCATTAAAATAAATTTCAGATCAATATAAGAATGACTTTCAGCGCCATAGGCTGGACCGTGTGATGCAGTTTCCTTTTTTTTATTTGCGAATAAATGAGTCGAATTGCTTTTAACCATCATCAGAGTTAACGGCCGTTTTGTTGTCTAATACTGCTCCGTGCTACTTTCTTTGGTCAAGGTATGCATTTTCATTGATATTTCCGAGAATTCTACATTTTCATATTTTCTTCTGCGCCTGTGTTCTTCCTTGTCCGGCTTTGCTGCGGTTTCTCGCAGCGACTCCAGCGACTTGAAGACCTCAGAAGCTGGTTATTCATTTCAACGCAGCAGTTTAAAAAAATGTTTCGGTTTGCTGTTGTAAACACATCTGGTATTTGATTTTAGTTTTTGATTACAAAACGTCTCGTTTCGCTTTGAAACGTATTCAGAGTATGTCTCATCTTTATGTTAAAAACATAGAATATGTTGTGAATGATTACTCCACCACCCGACTCATTTTTTGCGTTACATCTTAATCACTGTCAAGGCTACACGCGCTCGGTCCAAGTCTCTCGGTTTAGAATACATTTTAGTTGTTTGTGAGTCCAATAAAATTTATAAAGTCAATTCTAGAAACATTGACACAACGTAACGAATCTCAAGAAATTGAAGAAATGTTAAACAAAAACAAACACAAAAAAACAACAAAAAAGCTTTCATTCTGTTTCGGTCTCGCTGTTTAAACTGTTTAATGGTTTCTGTTTGATGTCTTTCATCTGGCTCGAGTTTCGAGGAAGATTATACTTTGACCGAGCCTCCTCCCAATTGTCGTGACGTCTTCTGGTAGAGCCATTGCTTTAACATGTAATGAAAACTTAATGGCTTGTGATGTGTTGAGTAATGAGTATGGATATGGATTTCGTGATGGAGAGGCAAGGAATATGGATGAACCAAACCTCGCATCCCGTAGAAGATAAAACCCCCTGGAAGTGGCCATTTAGTGTGCTGACAGTCGTCGTTGGTGGCATGGTCTGGTCTTCATCAACCAAATGTAAAGTAACCCCTGATATACCGGCTCTTCTTTCGGTGGGTTGAAGATATTCCAATCAATTCACACACACACACACATTAGTCGTAAATGTGAGGCGAAATGAAGAGTACGTTGCTTGCCCGTTGCTCTCCATTGTGGTGTTGACGTGTCAAGTAAATTGCAGGGGTCGCTACCACCCGAAAGCGTAGAACACACGAGCGTGAAGCGGGTAGCCTAATGAAACCAAAAAACAGATGACTGTGATTCGCTGCGCTTGGTTAGCACCATCAGATGTTAGTGAGCTCTTGCACGCCATCCCGTTCGATACTACTGCAATCTCGATCTTCTGCGCGGATGCGCAAGTGATGTGAAACTCAAACTGCGCGTGCGCAGAAGATCTGTGGTAGTGCTGTCGATTATTATAACGCTTCTCCATCCCTGTTTAATAAGTTATTTCTTTGTCGCGTGTTATAGCTGTTTCTGTAAAAGTCCCAATAGTGCGGGGGCGTCGCGAGGAGTCGTGCGGCGGGCAGCGCTCGCTCGCGCGTCGAGTCGACCGGGGCCGCGGCTGCCGCCCCGCGCGTTGCGTAACGCCCGTGTGAGTCACTAGGCGGCGGAACGAGGCCGCCGACACGGTCGTCGGCTCTCTGGGGCCCCGCCGCCCCCGCCCCCGCGCCGGCCGTCGCGCGTGCGCATGCGCGAGCTGCGGAGCGAGGAGGCGCCGCCCGACGCGGGCGCAGGTGGGAGGGGCCCGTGCCCGCGGCTGCGGCAATCGATGTTGATGTGTTTATCACTGTTTTAAACATTGATGTAATAAACCTGCATAACAATATACTCTTCTATGTTTTTTACGTTTTCGTCCTGTATATTAATGAAAAAGACTCGTCAGAATTTTGTAGAAGTTAAAATATGAAATAACTTAAAATACTATTGTCAGTTCAAACGAAACAATCACTGTTCGAAGCATCTTCATCTAGTAGACTGTCTCCATCGAGAGAGATGTCCCCGATGCCCTGCCATTTCAACCCATTTTCTCCTACTTCCCACTCGGGGAGGCGAGAAATGTGCCGTAAGTGTACTCTCTCCTGCTTACCGTGCCTTTTTTACTGCGAACTTACGAAGCTCTCAGCCCTGAGATGAGTCTGAGCGTACAGGCCTTTGGCTCAGTTTGGTTAATTGTTCATATTATTACTTCGTTTTGTCAATTAAATCATAATTATTCATGAATAAACATTACCGCTGTAAAATTAAATTACTCCGATCAAGCATGAACGTTAATATTAGACTAGTTTCGAGAGCATAATATTTTTGGATTGATGTATAATTCTTTTATTTCGAATGTCATCTTGAAACATTTTTTGTCGATGTCGCATCCCCCCTCGGAATGGTTCCGGTCTCCCTTCGAACCTTTTCGATTAAATGACTGGCTTATTTAGGAAAGGACTGGTCTCCGATCTGCGAGAATGAGTCATGCTCGCCATTTGATTTGGAATACACTTTACATTCAACATGTGAAATAGCCAGGTGATGGCTGTTCGCTAAACAGGTGTGCTTCTGTTTGCCTCCAACTACCCACGTCTCTGGAAACGATGCATTTTCCAACAACGTGCGCGCGGTAAACGGCTGATGGGGACGTGGCTTTTTTCGAAATAACACATTCAATTAAATTGTTCAAAATTTACTTCTAAGAAATTAATTACTTGTTTTAATTAGCTCGCGAGTGACGAGATAAATTCGCCTCCCTCGTGACGCTTGAAGTGAGGTTTTTATAGTAGACTGTTTTACCTGATTGTCCAGAAACAAAAATGGGTAATGTTTTCGTATGATTGCGAAATTCGTTTTACATCGCTCCCTCAACATTGTTGTGAGGATTTTTAAATACATGGAATGTCTTTCGATTGGACCACATCTTACAAATATTCTTTAGATAAAGTATTAATAAAAACTTCTCAAAATGCACTTACAAATAAAATAGTTTTGAGGCTAAATGAAATAGCTTTGATTTTGAATTTCGATTCTTTTTTATTTACTGTACCCCTGAAGTAAGAGTAGCTCATTGGGAAGAAAGGAAAAAAAACTTTTATTTTGGTATTATCAGATCTATTGAACCAACAAAGTTAAACCCCGGAGGTTCACTGTAGCCAGAGCTGCTTTCATTACTACTCAATGCCGAGAACGTGTAACATCCGAAATCCCGACAATATGAAGTACGTGTTCCTAGTGCCAGAATATTCATCTTTTAAAGTACGAAGTTTCAGTGTTGAATGTTCGAAGAAATATGGAATCGGGAAGTAGGTTCCCGCTCGAGATTCAGAGCAGAAATTACGACCCTGATTTCTGTGAAGTTAAGAGGGAAAGCCAGAGCGACCGCGCCATATCATTAGGAGTCGTAACAGTTCTATATCTAGCTGTGGCCAAAACACCCTCTCCCTTCCTGAAGTTTGTGTTGGAAAGAGTGATCTCGATAGATTAATTTAAAGGTAAATGGGTGATGATGATGAAGCTCTTGGCTTAAGTTGGTTGTTGTGCTCCTAAAATTGTATAGGCATAAGTTACAAATAAAGTTTTCGGAAAAAATTATTTACTAGCAAACTGTACTTCAGAAGAGAAGATAACATGCAGAACTGTTTCAAAATTTTTGAAATCTCATGTCAAAGAGAAAATTACTTAATGTACCATGGCCCTCTCGTACTTTCCATCTTGAATCTTCTGCTCCCCAATGTGCTAGGTCATTTTGGTCCGGTGACTGTTGGGCCTGTCAAGTTACAATTATTTCTACATGTATATTTTGTTTATACAGGAAACTAGTAATAGAATTAAATTATACACAATCTGAAGTGAAGAAAACAGGTTATTATACATTAAAGTACATAAAGTATACTTCTATTGGTTTAAACTATCATTGTCGATAATTCACAGAATACTATTTACCACACTTATCTTCAAAAGTGTAATAAAGAATACATGAGGCATCAAATGTTCAAAACTTGCGTCATCACCGTGTTTGAGCTTTTATCGTCCAGTTTAGTAACATTGCCAGCTTGGTAATTTGTTTGAAATGTTGCAGCGACTGAGGCATTGTGCAAACACACATTCATTTGTAGAAAAAATGTCGAGTTATAATGCGAACTTTGTGTGTGGATTCTTGTATTTTACTCTACTATAAATGTAAGATTCTTCATAATTCTCTAGTGACTTTGGCGCTTTAGAAACCAATCAGTCATTTCCCATCAATTGTAAGGTACGATAGTTTAATTTTACTCCATGAATAACTCAGTGGCTGTGTGTTTAAAAGTATAATCAAGCAAGCGAGGAAGTAGGTTGCAGCTCTTGATTCAGAGCAGAAATTACGAGCCTGATTTGCATAAAGATTTCCGCATCCACTTGGGCTTTCACGAAGAGCGTGAAAGTAGTTGGGCGTGCTTCACCCTGAGAAGTGCGTAACGACTGGAGATCGTTAGTAATCAAGATGCAAGATGTTACTGTTGGCATCGAGCCTGCATAACGCGCTGCTGTAATAAAAATCATCTCCTGGGAAATTGCTACGTACGTAATACATGCTGCCTTCTCATAGAAACCGAAATTGACTTGGAAGTTTATGGAAAAATCTTGATTTATGTCAAAGGAGAAAATAAATATTTTGCATGCGTGTTTCGAAAAGCAGAATTCATTCAATTAAAGGGCCCAAATTCCCGGATATTACATATCTTGGCTATCAAAGGGTTATAAAGCTATAAAAGGGTAGAGAAATCCCTGGATATCAGGATTTGAAAAGTAAAATGGAAAGCTCGCTTTAAAGTGAATTTAGTGTAATTCGAAACCAAAAGGAGGTATTATTAAGTACCATTCGAAGTATCAAAAAAATCTTAATTTATTAGTAATTTATATTATTGCTCGGTAATTGAAATGCCGTTGTTTTAACTTTCTAATTGAAGGATTTTTACTTTTATCCTAAATAAAACTACCGAAAATGTGCAGCCTTCCGAAAACTACCCTCTTGGTGATATTACTCAACATCTTTTAAAAAGGGCATATCATTTAGAATCAAAATCAAGTTGAAGGAATCAAAATCAGTTGAAGGAAAAAAAAGCTTGAAGTTGTGATGTATTTAAAATTTCGAGCTGTAAGGATGCACGCCGAAAATTAGATAAGTAAAATGTGGCTCAAGAAAAGCTCTAGATAATCACCATAAGGATAATAGAAAAGTCCAAAACCGTTGTTTAACATCGTTCATTTCAGTGTCGAAAATTAATTAATTGGGAGAGGATAACAAATTTAAGAATACTCACTATTCGCTAGGAATAAGTAGTTACACTGATTTCTGAAGCTTTCATTGCATTAATTTTATTTAAATTAATGATATTGTAAAACAGGTTCGTCCCTCCGTTCCGAGTTCGGTTACAAAATTGCGTGTGTACGACCTCCTCAGCCACCTGAACAAATCTTAAAATCTGTGGAACAGGTCTAACAGAGCGTACTTCTGACGTGTTTAAGAACTTAGACAAAAGTAGGATTTTACGACTGAAAATTCGAAATTGTATTATTAATGTAATTCCAATAGTTTTCCTGCCTATATACGCTATATACTCTCTCCCTCTATATATTATCGTACACACAGGAAAAGTAACAATGTCGCTAAAAAATGAAAATATAAGTGATCAAGTTTATTGTTTATGATACAGAATACAAGTTTCCTCAGCACATCTTAACACTCACTATTCATGAAATCAAATTATTCTCGTAGTCGATTTGTTCTATTATAAGTTTTTCAAATTAGAATCATTAACATCTTTCTAGGAATAAATCTTGAAGCAGGAAATATTGTTATAATCTATAGAATGCTTTCATTTCTCTGTATAATAATAATAATAATAATAATTAATAATTTATTATTGTATTGACTTAACAAGAGTTGACTAGTTTTTGCTGCAAAATCAAGACTAATTA